GGCTCATGTTCAGCTCCCTGTCTCTCTCCAAACTCCTAGGTCCCTTATACTTCTCCATTTTTTTCCTGAAGGACTCATAAGTGAAAGCCAAACTCCCAGGTCCCTTATACTTCTCCATTTTTTCCTGAAGGACTCATAAGTGAAAGACAGCATGAAATACCAAATTTTAGCAGCTTAAAAGCAAAGCAGCTGCATTACTTGCTTTGGTGTTTTCAGGGGTTTGATTATTTGTAGATACAGAGGCCAATCTCGCAGCAAGTCATATTATACAACACAGTATTTATTGTACAAGAGCCTTCCAAAGAAAAACACCTTCTGGTCTCTCTCTGCTGTACAGTACCTCTAGCATAGATCTGATGCTCTAGGTTAGTCAAACTGGCTGTACTCCTAGTTCTAAGGTAGACAAGAGGAAGGCCTGGCAGACAGGAAAGACAGAGTTAGCAGGTAAGAAAAACCACACAAATACAGGCAGATCTCCCCCAGCATGCATCAGGGAAGATACACAGATGGCATCATGCAATTAGGAGTTTCTCCCCATTTGCTTACACTAAGGTGGCAGTTGAATTGTTAAAAGTTCTGCTGAAATTTCTGCTGAAAATACCTATCAAGAGTTATTACTACAATGGTTTCAAGAACATAACATTTTTTTCCAGAAACTCAGTTATTTGGGTCTTTGGGGTACAGAATGAAAAAGGTCACCTCTGAACTGTACATGACACTGATTTAATCTTTGAGAGTCACTTGTATGACCAGAAAAAGAATTTAATGAGAGTCACTCATTAACTGAGTGTGGCAAAAAGAGGAAGCAGAACTAGCAGTGCAAAGCTCTCACTCAAAGCAAAGTAGCCAGAAAGGATTTGGCTTTTAGAGAACTGAACACAAAACAGAAAACAGCTTTTTTTTTTGGGCCTCTTTTTTGCCAAACATCTCTAAGAAATCACTTTATGCTGTGAAGCCCAAAGACTTATGTTTGCAATACGTTAGACAGATGACCATGTGTGTCAGGACTGTTTCAAATAAAGTGTGATTAATGAGCAACATACCCTGCCCAAAACATGGGGGATCCACTGACGAGCCCATCCAGTCCCCAGAGGTGATTACATTCACTTCTTTGTCCTGTTTACAGTAATCTTCCATCCATGACTGCTTGGTACATGTGTACTGCTCTAGAGGAATGTAAGCACAGCCAGTCAATGTCTCCAAGGTGGCAGCAAACAAAGTAATTGAGAAGTATGTTAAATTCATAACACTGAAGCTACTCCACCTTAATGGCAAAAGTTTGACTCTGCTGTTTCTTCTGGGAGCCACTTACATAAGTTAAAGGCAAACAACAGCTCAAAATCATACCATGTCTTCAAAACCAAATACTTACATACTTCTACATCCTTAAGATTTTATTTTAAGCAAGAGTTTCTGTGGAATTCCATGTAGTTCAGATTTCCTATGGCAAACTAAGAGCTCTCCCTGCAGAGGCAATTAACCTTCAATATTCTCAGGTTAGAAACAGTTCCTATGGTTTTGGGGTTTTTGTTTGTAGGAGGTACATGCACATTCCTGTATCAATATCAAGAAACCAATGAATTCCATTGGCACAGTATTAATCACTAACCAGCCTTACTACTTAGCACTGGTATTAAAAAAACATCTTGGGAACTCTTAGGAATCAATGATTTGCTTCTTTTCCTCCCACCTTGGCTCTACTCTTTCTGCCAAACCCACTGTCTTTGTGGGAGAAGGGACTAAGGAAGATTGTTACATCTGCAAGCTTAGCTGTTGACATGTTTTTATTATGCCAATCCAATTCTTCAGGATGAGCAACAATACTTGTGGGAAATGCACACAGTCACAGCCTGACAACACAGAAGCTCCCAAGAAATTTGAGTTAATCATGAACAAAACATTTTGATTTCCTGAGGTGGGAATTGACAGCTCAGGTGCTCAGAGACTGCCGAGCTGAAAGGAGTAGCTCCACACTACACCTGTCAATGCATTGAAATATGATGAGCTTATCAAAATACTTTTAAACACCGTAGTGTACGGAAAGCTTTAGGGGAAAACCTGTTTCTGATTAAAAATGAAATCTCAATAACATATGAATTTGATAGAATTCATACAACCAGAGAAAGAATTCCTTCCAACCTCCAAAATATGCAGCTCATGTCTTTACACTTTCACAACATCTGACAGCACACAGAGGCTGCCTGAGCACACACCTGTGTGCAGCACCAGGTGAGGTGTGCAGGGACTTGGCCTCCCTCCCTCCCTGGGACACCAGCAGGACTCCATTAGAGAGCTCTGCCATTCCCACTGGTGAAACCCACGAGTGCAGAGTGATGCTCTCAGGGAAGATCCCCACATACCTATGAGAACAGAGGTGATGTTTATATCCAGGCGCTGCTTGGCTTTCACCTCCAGCTTCAGGCGGGAGGGGTGCAGGCGACTCGAGGCTTGTTGTTGCCAAGACACTGAGCATGGCCAGGGCTCAATGAAGGGCTCCCAGCCTGAGAACAGACACCAAACATCACCTCTATCACACAGATGAAGGCCACATGGCAATGCTGTTTACAGATTTCAGACTTTAATAAGGACAGTTTAATAACGAGATCCTTTCCTTCTAATCTGCGTTCAAGGGGAACTTGCAAAGCTACAGATTTCACTTACTAACCAGGGCAAAGCTCCTCCAGCTCCTTCATTTGAATCATGTAGGCAAAACCTTGCAGAAGTATCTTAATTTCACTTAAAGCACTAGAAGGCAATTAGGGTTTCATGTTCAAGTGAGCTGGAAATAAGCTCTTTGAAATGGTTTTGAAAATGATTTTCATACAACATGAGTTGGCCTATTATTCAGTATCACATAAGACAAAGGTCTAAAACCTATTAAAAACCCAACCCTATGCAGATTTAAAACCAAAAAAATATAGCTTGTATTGGCAGATAATTCCTGAGGAGTTTGTTACCAATTATGTAACAGATAACTGAGTTTCTCAGTTCAGAAAAAACACATAACTAGATTAACCTTTTGCCAGTCTGACCTCTGCTGAGGCCTAACTCACTCTTTTCTGTCTGAAACATAAATTGTGATGATGGTTTATGCCAATCCCTTGACTTCAGCCTGATCACTGCCCTCAGGTGCATTTCCTTCCTGAAATAACTAACAAACTGAACACACTGAACAATGAAATACTGAAAGAGAAGAGTGAACAGTTTCATATCTGTCACCTCCCTGAGCAACCTTTTTATGCAGTTACATTTGAAACTTCAGTGCCAATTTCACATCAGCAAAATCTCTACTTTCCATATCCCTCTGACTGACCTCAAGTCAGGATATCTTGTCTAGGATCCTATATCACATACACATGATCACAAAAGCCAACCTTGCCCATTCCCTTACAGCCATTTCATGTCATTTATTTCAGGCTCCTGCAGTGGGAATGGCTGTTTCCCAAACTGAAATCAACTGAAAACAACAACCCCTCGAGTATTTTACCTGAAAGTTCACGATTGTAATAATCTCCAGAGAGGGTAAAATGAGCATAGCCTTCAGGGCTGGTCCTCAGATGTTGGAGAAAATTCAAACCTGGAAAAAAACAAGTGAATCTTATATGTGAAATAATTTAGTTTCCTGATTTCATGAACTGGCAAGTGAGCAAGGGAAGGTTTTGACTTATCTTTTAAATTGAGATGGTGCAAAAAGTCTATGGAGTCTCCCCAGGGTTCTGCTCAGGGCAGATTCCATTTGTTATGGGATGTATAAAGGGAAAATCTTAACCCCACAGAGACTGTAATCATCTTAAAACTAAAACTTAAACCCAACAAAAACCAAGAACCCTAAGGAATCCCAAAGCCCACACAACAACCACCACCAGAACACTGTCAGTTGAAAATTCCCAAGGACCCAGGGCACGGTGCTGACACTCACAGGACCTGACAGTCATTTCTGCAAGGCCTCAGCAGAACCAGAAACTCACGTGAGAAGGTTAACTCAGCAAGGGGAACATCACAGTCCATGCAGTCATCGATGAAGCAAATGCATACACTTTCTGCCTTTATTTCCACTCCAGAGATGAACTGGAAAGGCAGAATCCCCTGGCTATCTCGAGCAGAAGAGGTCTGGGAAGCTGATTTCAAAGGTTCAGCATTCTTAAATAACCAACTTGCTGCTTTATTCAAGTCCCCTTAGATAAAAGCAAACAACCAATCAATCATCATCTACTTCTTCAATGAGATGTACTTAGTGAAAAAACAGATGGGAGCAAACTATTCCCTTCCTCTTATGGCAAGTCACCAACATTCCCTTAAACGTGTTCTATTTCATAACATAAATATGAGGTTATAATTCAAAAAGAGAGAGAGAAAAACATGTGCTCTAAAGAGGGAGGGATGAATAATTGCAAGAAACAGGTACACCACAAAAAAGAATAGGTCTGCACATACCCAAACCCTCAGTAACACACTCAAACACCTCACACATGACATCCCAAAGGGCAGAAAGAATCTTTTGGGTTCTACACAGCAGCAGGACAGGAAAATGAATGTTTAAGATTCTCAACACACAGCCAAAGTAAAGAAGAGAAGGAAATGCTGCCTGTGCAGCTACTACCTGACAGGCTGGAAGGTTTGACTTAATTGCAATTAAGGTAATATGAACAATCTGCAAAGTCAGTAAAGAGTATCTGCTGTTACCTTGGCAGATCAGAAGAGCTTTACGACAATCTTCCATGCTGAATCCCAAGTCTTGGAGTCGAGCCAGCTGGACCTCTGGAATGGAACAGTTAGCCAAGCATAAATCCTTGACAGTTATCTACTTGTTTTCATTTCTAAAATCAAGATGTATCTGTATGAAAAATGGGATTTGGTTTAAGATTGCAGCTGTAGGAAAAGCATAGGATTCAGCACTGCTCTTATTTTTGTCATAGTCCCATCAGGGTAAGGTCATCATCAGCTCATTCTGATCACCAAAGGGTTTTACACCAGGAAGATACTAACATTGACTGTGTTAAGCATATGACAAACTTCACACTGAGAAAGCTCCTTCAGATAGGAAAAATGGCTTCACTCCAACAGGTAACATACCCAGCACAGGATCCAGCACACGTTTGGATACATCTCTGTTCTCATGTGTCGAAGAAGTCTCGTTCACCAGTGCTAAACTGGAGGGATGAGCAGCATGTTCAGCACTGGAGGCAGCTGAGTCAGGCATAGCTGCACTTGTCTGTTGGGGAATTGACTTTGCAATTGCCAAGAAGAGCTGAACATCATTGTAGGACAGTCTGATATCCAGTGCTTGCAACTGAATCTAGATGAAAAATTAGGAGATCCACTTACTCTTTTATACATACTTTGCTTGTGTACTTTGGATATTACTAAAGTTTTTCCCAAAGGAAGACAAAATTTAGTGTTCAAATCTGATGCTCACCCTGTTTTAAAGCTCCAATAATAAAACTAGAAACTTGTTATCATTTACCAACAACCAAAAGTGTTAAAAGCATATCTCAAGGAAAAAGGAGTTTTACTTTGGTGTAATGGTAAAAATAGGCTCTAAATAGAATCCCTCCCCTCTAGTAAGCTCTAATAATTAAATCAAGAAAATACATAAAAATACCTTTTTCTTCTAGGTATTAGTAACTATCTAACACATCTACATTATCAGCCACTCATTTCCCCAACTAATAATCTCTGCAACATATCCTAGGAATCACTTCTTCATTACCACTAACAGCATCTCCTGCATCTTTGTTTCTTTCCCTTTTCCACTTTAGGAAAAACTTCTCTTATTCTTTCCTTATGCATTTGAAAATCTTCTATTGACTCCTTGGGCACACAAATATCTGTGCTAGATGATGCTCTGGTATTCTCAGTCATCCAGTTTTACTGAGGTTTTTAATATTACCTCTAGAATAGGAGGAAAATCTTCACTGTTAAAAGCATCCAACAGTCCTGAACCACTTGGGTAGGAAGAATTCCCAACCAGCTCCATATGGATCTGTACTGGATCAATAATTGACAGTGCAGTCTCCTGCTCATTTCCTAACCGGCATGAGAACACCTAAAAATCACAAATTATTTACCAAGAGTTAGGAACCAAGAGAACAGACCTGGCAAGAGCTAGTAATGTTTAAAACTTACAGACAAGTGTTTCAATGTCTTAACAGAAACAGTAAAAATCATTCTTAAAACTGATGCAAAATGAGAATATTTGAGGGGAAGTAACAAACTTTAAGAATCATCTATGGATTAATCCTGTGGTATCGATATTTGCAGTAAAGTATCTTCACAAGCTCCTCTGATTTTAGATGTTTTACAAGAGTAAATTTGTATCTTCTTACCTCAATGCCAAACAAACTACCAGAGAAAGGTCGATCCAACAATTTGGGCTTGTAAGTGAGAACAGTTGTTCCCTTCAAAATAATTGCATTGGTATCAAAGCAAGACATGTCTTCAACCACCACAAACTCAGTTCCTTGACAAAAGAAGATGACAAATAATTACCAGGGCAGGTAGCAATATCCTTAATGTATTAGAAGCATTTCTAGCAGGTTCCTTTATAATATGTCAAGGGGTTAGAATGGAGCTTAGAGATCATCCAGCCCCAATCCCTGCCCTGGGCAGGGACACCTCCCACCAGAGCAGGTTGCTCAAGGCTTTAGCCAACCTGGCTGTGAACACTGCCAGGGTTGGGGCAGCCACAGCCTCCCTGGGCAACCTGTGCCAGTGGCTCACCACCCTCACAGGGAAAACTTCAGCCTAAGATCTAATCTAAATTTCCCTCTTTCAATTTCTCCCCATTACTCCTTGTCCTATCCCTGCAGCTGCTAACCCAGAGTCCCTCGGCAGCTTCCCTGGAGCCCCTTTGGATCCTGGAAGGTTGCTCTGAGATCTCCATAGAACCTTTTCCAGGCTGAACACCCCCAACTCTCTCATCCTGTCCTTATAGGGAAGGTGCTCCAGTCCTCTGATCAGCTTCGTGGCCTCCTCTAAACCTGCTCCAAGTTTCATTCTTACTTTCTGTCCTTTAACAGCCCTGGTTTTCCACTAGCACATGGATTTTAACCAGAGAAGCTTCCATAAAAGCACCTGAGGAAACATTTACCTGTCACATTGACCTTAACTTCCAGTTGTTTCTCCGCAGTCACACGCAGCGATGAACGTTTGGTAACGACTCCACACTTGACTGTTTTGGGAACCACAGCTGTGTCACTGCTGGAAGTTTTCTGCCGGGATGAAAGGGGATTTTCCCTCTTTTTGGTATCTCCAGGAGTATATAAGAAGTCATGAACCAGCAACAACCAGTCAAAGATCAGGAACACACGAAGGTTGTTCAGCACAACTGTGAAACTGGAGGAATCCTTAGTAGACCTTTAAGAAGGGAGAAACATCCACATGAACTTTACATCTAGCAGATACTTAAAAGTGATGCAGAAAACTATCAGGATCTAGAAAGTAAGAGCTATATGGAACTTTAGAGGGATTCACTTGGTTTACAGAGTGTTTGGCCTTTAAAATACATACCTATATATAGATAAGCATTTTAACAGACTGAAATTCAGCAAGTTGCTGTACCCACAGAAACCAAACAGATCTGGAGTTTAATTTTAAGCTGCAGTGATACAATGGATGACTTGAAAAACTATATAACAGGAATATAAAAGCTTCTTGAATACATTTACATATTAATTTGCCGAGTCTGAGATTTGAAAACTGATCTTCTGATTATCATTTTACATCTGTTGGGTATCAAACCTAACCTAGTGCGTGTGAAACTCAGACCTGGCTCCAAGATGAGAGGTACAATGTGTTTCCTCTCACACCCTGACAGCACTTTGCAGCACAGGAAGCTGCTTTGTCATCCACAAAAAATGTCAGCCTGAGCTCTCAGCATCACAGCCTGAATGTCTGGCTAGGAGGGATAAAAGTGTTTGGCTTCCTGATCTGGAATACCAGTTCGATTCGATCATGCTAACTGGAAAATCATCTAAGTGCTTAAATACCATGAAACAATTTTATATCCAGCACATTGTGAACTATAAAATCTCTGAAGAACTGGGATGGCTTTGTGGGAAGCAGCCTGTCTGCACTGCTTCCAACAGCAAAACCCTGCCTGGCTCTCCAGGATATTTCGAGAGGCACCAGCCAGTATAGCACTATCACTGGGCTCTGCAAACACTTATATCTGGTGCCAAGGATGCTCTCACCACTAAAAATGGAACACATGCTGCTGTGGCTGAAATTTAAAAGCACAACAGTTGGGAAGAAGATTCCTGAAACTATCACTCATACACCACTTTAGGCTGTGCTGTGCAAACTCACTAGCAGCCTAAGCTATGCAGCTACTGAGTCCACACTTCTGTGAAAGCCTTTTGGTGGGTTTTGGGTGTTTTTTGAAAATCATAGAATGATAGAATTGAGGGGTTGGAATGGACCTTATAGATCATTCAGCCCCAAACCCCTGCCCTGGGCAGGGACAGGGACCTGTGCCAGTGTCCTGTCCAATCCCATCTTAGTTTTATTCAAATCAAAATCTTAGTGTCTTTCTGAACACACTTAAAACACATAAAACCATCCTGCAGGATGGAAATCTTTACAACACATTTGTCTCGACTGCCTGAAGTTTGGTTAGCTGGTTTTTATGAACAAAAGTCTTCAAGTTTTTCTATGGGATTAAAATAGTTCACAGATATTTTTCTACATTGTTCCTGCAACTGCTGCAAAATGTAGCAAATTTATAGAGGAGTGAGAAGCTCAGTTTGGTCAGTAAAACTGATCACAAGTGAATGCAACAGCTCCAGTCACCTCACTTCACCCTCTTCTTTATTAGCTAACAAAACACCATGTTGATACAGGTAAATCATGACATTATATTCTCATTTTCAACACTAAATTAGATCAGAACAGATAAGGAACAACAAAGAGGGTAAGACAGAACACAGAAGAGAATATAGAGACTGTTTCTGCTTGTCTTTGATGCTCTCAGAAAGCCACGTGTGACACCTGCTGGGAAACAGCTTTTGTGCAGCATAAATGAACAACTCTACAATTAGTTTTCTGCAAGCATAAGGCACAGAGCAGAATTGTTAAGCTTTAGGCACTGATTTTAAATAGATCAGAACTTCATCTGATTCATTACACATTCAAACCTAAATTCGTTGCACAAAGGGAAAAAATATCCAACAACTTTCAGTTCATTAATAACTGCAGATTTCTATCCAGTAGCTACCACTGAGCACCCCAAAAATGTCTTCAGACTTAAATACAAAGTCAGCAAGTTTACCCACATTAATAACAGCTGTAATAAACCACTGACAATCCTGAGTATGTCACTGTCAAAAACAAATAAATCCCAGACTGACCAACCTGTAGTGCAATTCAATCTGGATTTCTCCTGGGCTGCTGGCATTCTTGGATGACTGGAAGATGCAGTTGAACACATTGGGAGGACCTGCAGCATATTTCTGCCCAGCATAACGTGTGTCAAATGCCATCATGGAATGAGAAACCAGATTGACAGACTTGGTTCCATTTGAAGAGCTTTCAAAAAGCAATTTGGATTTCTTAAAATCAAACCTGGAAGAAAAAAAAAGCGAAAAAAGAGCATTATAGTTGATTTATTCCAAGAAGTCACTTGTTTTAAACATGTGCAGGGAGTACTCCTGGTATCCTTTATTTAGGTATTTTCTGAAACAACTGTATGAATCTCATGTCATAAGAGACAGAAAGAAGATCTACAGAGAATCACAGAATCAACCTGGTTGGAAAAGACTTCCAAGACCATCAAGTCCAACCCTACTGTGGTTACTAGACCATGGGACTAAGTGCCACATCCAGTCTCAGCTTGAAAACCTCCAGGGATGGTGAATCCACCTCATATGCAATAATATTTTCCACTGATACAGAACCTGCTGGACTAAAACCAAAACAAGCCAACGTAGCAGAAATCTGTTTTCTTACCCTTCCCTCTCATCATTTTCTTAATTAAAATACTATTTATCTTGGGCAAATCAACTGATTACTGAACTGTGAGTTCAAGGACAACTGGAAAGACAGAGATGGTATCTTCGGAACAGTATCATTCCCTTTCATCCTACTGAGGGATACTGAGGGGCTGGAGCAGGTCCAGAGAAGAGCAACGAGGCTGGGGAAGGGACTGGAGCACAAGTGCCATGAGGAGAGGCTGAGGGAGCTGGGGGTGTTCAGCCTGGAGAAGAGGAGGCTCAGGGGAGACCTCATCACCCTCTGCAACTCCCTGACAGGAGGTTGGAGTCAGGTGGGGGTTGGTCTCTTCTCCCAGGCAACCAGCAGCAGGACAAGAGGGCACAGACTCAAGCTCTGCCAGGGGAGGGTTAGGTCGGATATTAGGAAGAGATTTTTTACAGAGAGAGTGATCAGGCATTGGAATAGGCTGCCATAATTCCATGTACTATATTACTTCCTGTCCTACACCTTTGAGATGAGCATAGTGTTTAGGGTGAGGTATTCAGCAACAAAAGATCATTCATACCTGGCTAAAGAGCTGCATCCATCTCTTCCCTTTGGATCCATCAGTTCCAGGCTCACATTGACCATGTCAATGAGGAATGACATGGAAGTATACACTTCTCCACTCAAAACTGTCTGAAAGGGGAAAACACCAACATTCTTTTTCAAAGCATCCATTTATCTCTCACTTCTGAATCACATTTTAGCTCAGACCAATGCAAACAGCTGTAGTGCCCTTCTCCTGCAAGGAGTTTCACCCAACATTCCTGGGAAACAGTTACTTTTCACTACAGTGTGGCCTTCAGCTTAAAACCGTCTATTCCTCCATTTGCACACGACTACTCTATAGCTTCTTTGTTCTTAAAATGCTGCAAAATCAGCAAAGCCCCAGACATTCCAAGGCAGAATTTCAGCTGCACATAGTTCCTCTTACATGAATCCTTGGATCCTGCAGGTCATAAGGCCTCATGAACTCCTCTATGGGCTCCCCCAGGTTGTTCTCCAGCAGCCCACGGATCAGCTTGTACTTATTCAAATCCAAGGAGCAGTGGACTGATGACAGGTTGCCATGTATTGATATGTCTGCAACTGCATGACTCAGCTCTCTGCAAGAGAGGAGAAAACCTCAGCATTCCAGGGAGCTATAGCACAGCAGATATGACTTCTAAACTACACTAAAAGGCATCTAAGCCATTGCTTTAGGCTGACAGCATAAAGTGATCCTGTTTACACTCACTTGTCCAAGTTTCTCTCCACCTGTAACTTCAGTCTGAAGGGTTCTGTGAGCAGGCTCCCTCCTGTCTGCCTCACCAAGTAGGATGGAAAGCTCAAGTCTGCACTGGTGTCTTCCACAGCCTTGGAATACTCTCTCTGATATCTTTCTGCAGCAAATATGTCCATGTCCTGCAGATCAACCACAATGCAGTCTAAGAGGCAGATGTGATCCTCTGCAAGTGCACAGGAGATAACACATTAAGAAAAAAAACCAATAAATCTGTACAAAACTAATGCAACTCACTTTTAGTCTTTAGTTTATTCCTCTTTTTAAATGTTTTTACTCACACTCATCACTACCTGTAACTACTCAATACCAAGGTCATTCACAGGTAAAGGCCCAGCTATATATATGTCTGCAATATGTACCTCAAAATATGCCCAAATTGCAGGATTTTTCTTCCAGGAAGTGAACTAGAACTCTCTAATCCTTTAAGCTGCAAAACCAGCCCTTCTTTTCCTATCTACAATTTTCAGACCCAGCTTTACTTTTTCAACATCACACAAGACATAAGCAAATTGTCCCTGTGCTATTTCACAAGGAAAAGAAGAGCTCTGTGGGAGTTCTGCTGCTCCTCACATACCTGGGCTGTCAGGGTTTGGGATCACAGGCAGCTTAGACTGTTGCCCTTGTTGCTTACTCGATGTGTTCAGTGCAGGTTCATTCTTCAGCCTAGAAATGTTTGTCCCTGATGATTTTTTCATGACCAAACCTTCCATCACTGCTTTGGATTCATCAGCACTTGATTTCTTCATGCTGTGCTTTGGGGTTCCCGAGGGAGATGAAAATTGCACTGAGTCCTGCTAAAGAAAGCAATTTTGAAATTAATAATAGATCTGTAATTGAAATTCTGAGGAATCAATGCACCAAGGTTGAAGCTGCAACAAATTAAAAAAAGACCAGTATCTTCTACTCTGGAAAAGAAGCCTAACTTCTTTTACCTATAACGTTAAGAGCTGATTAAAACATTTTCATTTAAAAACAGTTTATTTCAGCAACATTATCCCAAAAGATGGGAAAGCTCTTCAGTGAGAAACTAACTGAAACGAAGAGAGTTTTGTTGTTTCTTACTGTAAAGGAGAAGGCCAATCCAAGCCTGGGCTGCATCAAAAAGTGTGAGCAGCAGGGCAGAGAAGGTGATTCTTCCCCTCTACTCTTGTGAGACCCACCTGGAATACTGCACACAGATCTCTAAGGTCCATTCCAACCCCTAAATTCTATGATTTCCAACATTCCTTCTGTATCCACCTTCAGATGTCACCATGAATCCCTACCCTCAAACTTTCCTTTCTGGTTTTAATTATTAATTTTTCTTTACCTTCCCTGGTTCTTCAATATTAAAAAAACTTGGAAAAATACATTGCAGTCATGATCAAAGATTTCAAGAATTAAAAATCTGAAGACATTAACATTTCACTTCACACTTTAAGGGCTGAAAAGTACATGCAAAGAAAAATCATCTCATCTCTATAAATCCATGAATTTCTGCAATTAAATCCAAATTAGCAGCTCCTCAGACATGCATAAAGAGCACAGCACAACAAAGTTAAACCCACTTCTTACAGAATTCAGCAAACTCTTTAGAACAGAAACCTCATTTTTAACAAATGAAGGAACTTTTTAAAGTGCTAAATTCCACAAGAATATTTCCATTCCTTGAAATGAATGAGGAGCACCTGAACACTGCTAGAAAGCTGTGAAATACCTCAAATAAAACAGGATCCTTGTATGCATTGCCTTGCAAAATCCGATCCTCAAAAACAAACAGGACAGAGAGAAAATGAAAATATAACCAACCCAAAAAAGAAAGCCAAACCCAACCTAATCCCATTTCAAACACCTCAGTTTCTACAGTGTCACATCACACAGTATTTTTAGGCTGGAATAAATTTACTGTGCACTTGTAACATTAATTTAGGAATCTATCACTTACAAACCTTTCAATCCATCAGCACAGCAAACAACTCCATATTACAGTCCAGGTTCTCCTCACAGCACACACAGTGGGATAAATATATATGATATAAATGATACAAATCAGATGGAGGCAAGAGACACACCACAAACTGCTGCAGCAATTTAACCCACCTAATTCCTACTCCCCTTCCAAATGGGATTAGAGGGTTCCCAGCCAACTACCCATTCTGTTGCATAAGTTAGATACAGAAAGTCATCCCAGATGGATCTTCCTTACCCCAAATATTGTGGCTGCATCTCTCAACAGCAACACCAACTGCTCCTGTCCTGTGTCTTGCCATGGAAACCTTTCACTAGGTTCCCCCTAATCCAAGCAACTACACACACTCAGTTTCACTGAGGGCAGGAAAAAAGATAAATTAAATACAATTTTGTCTCTAGAGTGTTCCAGCAAGCCTCAGCCAGCACAAATCCCTGTTCTCTGCCACTCACACTGTGGAAGGCTTGTTTGGTGATGAGCAGAAACTATCAAACAGGGTTAGCTGAATCCTGTCATGGTCCCACATTCAGGTATGCACTCAGCTGTGTCCTGGCTCCTAACAAGACCAGCTGGAGTGAGTTCTGCCTCGTTTAGTCAATCTGTTCTCTCAGAGCAGACTCAGGTCAGTCTCCTCTCTGCCCTGAAGGCCTCAGACAGCAAGTTCAGGTGAGGCACAAAGGCAGCAGCTCAGCACAAACAGCAGCAGGGCAGACCCACATGCCCCAGACTGTTTCACCACTACCACTATAAAGTGTATATTATAAAGTAAACTGTAAGAATCATTTACCATTTGGATTTAGAAACCAAATGCCCCAAAATTAAGAAAATCTAAGCAAATGTTCTTACCTTGTTTTTTAAGGAGAAGGTGCCTGGCATGCCTGCAAACAGGAATCTGTTCTTCACTTTCAGCTTTCCCAGGTTAGCCACAATCAGACTGTTGGACTTGGAGCTTTCAGGTATGAGCAAAACAGGAGCACCAGCCTCAATATCAAGCAGAACTCGGGAAGCTCTTTGGGCTTTATCTCTCACCTGGGAAGAGCAAAAATGCATAGAAAAAAA